TATCTACAGGAATCATTCAGCTTATCTGTAACTGTTAACTACAAAAAGCAAAGGCATACTGGAAGGAGTAGAACTAAGGATCAGGGTACTCTCACCACTTACCTACTTGTTTGTTCCATTATTTGGGCTCACATTAGCAGGTGGTACTAGTTATAATACAACTTTGAACTGTTATTTCATTTGTTAAGCATGTGGGATTGTCTTTGTCTTATGATCTGGTTTCTATGAGCTTAGGTCTCAGCTACAGGCTTAGTTCACCTCGTCTCAAACATGGCTGTGTCTTGGACCTGGTCCTTTTCTAACTGCCTGTCAATAAGTTCACTCTCTGCAACATAAGCCTTCATGCCCAGGTTTTTGTGCTGACTTACGTCTTCATAATTCTTCTCTATATAACAAAAGTAGTGATTAATAAGAAACATGGAAACAATGGTTGTACTACTATTGCTCCATTGAAAATTCATGATAAAATCTAATTTCCAGTGGTATAGATGAATAGGTGAAAACTCAGAAGTACATACTGATGGGTGAAAATATTATCTGAGTAACTGCAGACAGTTGGGTTACTTTGGAGACAATTAGAGTAAGATATGTTTTTGAGGGGAGTCTCTTACTGAGTACTGGAATTGAAAGAGAATGAGAGTAATAGGAGGGAACATACATGTGCTAATAGACCCCTCATGTGATACCCTGTGTGATGTCAGGTAAAAGTTTTTCATAAAATAAGAACAATGCTATTGCGCCAATGATCAAAATGTAATATAAAATTTTTCATAAAAATTTTTCATCTAATACAGATATTTATTATTTTGTCAACATGTGCAATAGCTTGATTTATTTATATTTGTCCATCCAATGTAGTTTATTACAGTTTTGTAGTTTTATTTTGTGCATTTTACGTCCAATCATGTGCTATACACAATAAACCCATCTAATTCAAAAGGAAATTCATAGAATGAAAGTCAAAGGATAGGAAACAATACTTCATGCAATAGGAACCCAGAAAAAAGCAGGGGTAGCTATCCTGTGTATAGAAAATGTGAATTCAAACCAAGAATGCTCAAAAGAGATAAAGAAGGGTGACTACATACTGGTTAGGTGAAAACTTCAAGAGGGAGAGCAAACACTTATAAATATATAAGCACCAAATATGGGAGCACGCAGCTCTGTCTCCGCTCTCTCTCTCTCTCTCTCTCTCTCTCTCTCATATATATATATATATATATATATATATATATATATATATATAAAATATATGACAAACATTAATACACATGAAAAATCAAATAAGCAATAACATAGTTATAACAACATTAATACTCCTTTATAACAAAGAAACAGATCAGCTAGACAGAAAATCAGCAAAGAAATAAAAACTCAATCAAACTTATGAACAAATGGACTTAGTCAATGTGTACAGCATATTCCACCCAATAACATTATTCTTCTCAGCTGTACATGGGATATTCTCTAAAACAGAACATATGCTAGCCTATAGAATATGCTTAAGTAAACACAAAAGAATCAAAAATTATCACATGCATATTATCTGATCATAATGCCACGAAATTGAAAATTAATGACAAAAGAAACCACAAAAACTCCATGAACGTGGAAATTAAGTAATACCTCCTGAAAAACCAGTGGGTCACAGAGTAAATTAAAGAAAAAATTAAACAATATCAGCAAACAAAAATGCAAATACAACTTAGCAAAACCTGTGAGACACAATGAAAGTCCTCAGAGGGAGTTTTATTGCAGTGAATTCTCATATCAGGAAAACAGAACACAAATAACAGAATACAAATAAACAACCTGATGCTACACCTCAAACATCTCAAAAAAGAAGAGCAGGTCAAGCCCAAAGATGTTGTCCCAACATCTCAAAAAGAAGAGCAGGTCAAGCCCAAAGAAGGGAAGAAATTATAAAGAGCAAAGCAAAAATTAACACAGTTGAGACTAAGAAAACAATACAAAGAATTGATGAATTGAAGATTTGTTTCTCTGAAAGAATAAATAGATAAGGATCAGGGATTTAGCTCAGCGGCATAAGTGCCTGGCAAGTGGCCTGTCATGAGTTTGATCCCCAGTACAAAAAGTTAAATTAAATTAAAAAATAAAATTGATAAGCCCTTAATTAACTTTATCAAAAAAGGGAAAAAAATCAAATTCATACAATAAGAAATGAAAGTAATGAAATCACAGCAGACCCTGTGGGAAATACAAAAGATCATCAATGCCTACTTCCAAAACCTTTACTCTCATAGGGTTTGATAATGTAAAAGAAATAGACAGATTCCTAGAAGTATATAGATTACCAAAGCTGGATCAAGAAGGTATAAACCTTCTGAATAACCCCATTTCATTTAATGAAATTGAAGATGTGATTAGAAACTTACCAACAAAGAAACGCACAGGGTCTGATGGATTCACAGCTAAATTCCACAAAAAAATCAGGGAAAACTTATGCCCACACTCTTCAAACTCTTCAGAGAAGTTAAAAGGGAAGTGATTCTCCCTAACTCATTCCTGGAAGCAAATGTTACCCTGATACCAAAACCAGAGACAGAACCAATGAAAAATGAGAACTACAGGCCAATCTCCCTAGTGACCTAGATGCAAAAATCCTCACTAAAATACTGGCAACAGAATATAGCGAATCATCAAGAAGATTATACACCAAGTGGGATTCATCGCAGGAGTGCAGGGATGGTTCAACATATGCAAATCAATAAATGTAATACATCATATCAACAGAACCAAAGACAAGAATCACCTGATCATCTTAATAGATTCAGTAAAAGCTTTTGATAAAATTCAACACTTATTCATGATTAAAAAACCTTATGGAAAATCAGAGTAGATGGTCTTTACCTCAATCTGATAAAAGCCATATACAGTAAACTAATAGTCAATGTCTTACTAAATGCACAAAAACTGGATTTGTTTCTGAAAGGAAGTTTGTCCCAACAGACCAAGAATGGACAGTTTGATGCAGCAGAATAATGCTTGTCTATGAAATGCAGTTAGCACATCAACTGGACCTATTTCCAGAATTCAGGGTGACCCTTCTGATATGTAAAGTTGTAAAAAAAAAAAGTCAGAAACTTGAGAAAAAAGGCCTGGAAGGCAACATTGATGGTGCATTAATAAATCCTGCAGTGATTATAGAATCACTTCAAATAATAGTGACTGGGAGAAAAATGAAGACATGAACTCCAGTGAAATTATTTTCAACCTGTCCTCAAATAATATTTCAGAAGCTTTGAAAAAATTCGGTGCCTCAGCAAATGACACGTTCTAATTCTTTACATCAAAGAGGGGGGGGGGACAAATAAATCAAGAATACCTGATATCTCAAATAGAAGGTCTTCAGGTTTCTCTGAAAAATCTTACTGAAATAACAAATATTTCAGAAGTCAAAATGATATTTAAATCGTCTTCATAAGAAAAAAGCATTGGGACATTATTTGATGCCATCATTTGTAGAGTGTCAACAAAAGATGTTTCAAATGTTAGAAATATTAACAAATTATCAGCATTAAAGAAAATACTTATTTTTTAAATTATCTCTGAAAAGTAAATGTACAAAAACTGAAAGCTTTCAACCTAAAATCGAACAAGAGAAAGATGTCCATTATCTCCACTCCTATACAATATAGTTCTAGAAACATTAGCCAGAGCAACTAGACAAGAGAGAGAGAAATAAAAGGAATAAGGATAGGAAAGGAAGAAGTTATTTTCAGATATTATGATACTCTACATAAGAGACCCCAAAAACTTCACTGAAAAACCCCTAGATCTAATAACCAAATTCAGTAATGTAGTTGGATACAAAGTCAGCTCTGAAAAATAACATTTCTATATACAAACAGCATACTGACTGAAAGAAAAATAAAGGAAACTGCACCCTTCACAATTGCACTCCCCCCAAAATGAAATACTTAGGAATGAAATACTTAGGAATCAATCTTAGGAAATAATACTTAGGAAACAAAAGAAGTAAAAGCTCTGTACATTGAAAATTACAGTACTCTGAAAAAAGAAAAGAGAATTTCAGAAAATGAAAAGATATTCCTTGTTCATAGATAGGAAGAAAACTTTTTTCTACATTACTAATTTTTTTACATTAGTAATAATGTAAATATCTTGAGCATGTTCAGAAAATGTCTTCCCTAGGCATTGGGCAGTGGGTGAGAGCATCTAGGTGACTGATCCCCTACTTGACTCAACCTTCTCTTGTCCATGAATGACTACCCTCCCAGTTTGGTTATTGTTCCAAAGTTCACCATGTGTGAGTTTCTACAAACAGTGGTCTTGGTTTAAAGAGCATTGTTTGTAGAAACTTAAATTTTTCAATAAATGATTATATTTGTAGAGTAATATTTTCAGGGGTCCCCCCCCCACTGTTGTTCACAAGTATTGATATGCAAATAAAATGTCAGGTACTTTCTCATCCATTCCATTCATGAGATTTGGAAGTTTTTTGAACAGGAGCACATCTCTCTCAAGGAATGATAGCACAGTATAGTACCTGCTCATTGGAAAGAAGTCATTAGTCTGTATGGTTGGTAAACTGTACAGTAAAAAGAAATGGGTCTCAAGTGTATCAATTGAAAAGTTTGGGTGGTGGTGTTTATTCATTGTTTTCTCTCCAGTTAGATATATTGTAGTCACTTTGTAAGATTTGTATTGTTTGACCTTTACTTCTTATATAAAATATATTGTAGGATTTTTTTTTTTTTTTTTTTTTTGTCTTTTTCGTTTTTGTCGGTACCGGGGATCGAACTCACGACTGCCTGCTTGCAAGGCAGGCGCTTATGCCACTGAGCTAAATCCCCAGCCCCCTATAAAATATATTGTATATGCAGAAAATATCTTCTTGTCTTGTTTACATCCTGTGGTTTTCATAAATTTCAATGTATCTTTCTAATTCTAATGTTTACATCATTTTCCTTTAAGGAAAGCTTTTTCACATTTAACTTTTTTTTTTTATTTTAAAGAGAATGAAACTAAACAAAGTAAAACAGTGAAAGTGATACAGCACTTCAAAACAAGCTAATAGGAAATCAACCATTGCTACCATAATGCCTCTTGTTACCTTCAAAATTGCTGCCCATACCATCAGACATAGTAAAATCAAACAAAACAGAACAGAATAAAACCAATTAAAATGAAACATTGAATAAAACAAAAATAATAAAATGGAGCAAGAAAAAATGAGACCAATATTTGATTTAAAAAACAAGCCAGAAGAAAATCTCCCACAGTTCCTGTTGCACATTGTTATCCTCTAAATAGATGTGCAGACTGCCAGCTTTAAGCCTGCAAAGTCAGTCAAACAGTGTAAGTATTCAGTTGCTTTTTGTATGTCAGTTACTGTCAATCAGTCTGTGTTGCTCTGAATCACCTCATTGCCCATAGGGAAGGGACTCTTCTCTTACCTCCCAGCCCATGCACCACATGCCTCACAGGAAGGGTGCTTCCTGTTTCTCCTCCTGGCCCCAGTTACTGTTGGCTCATAGGAAGAATGCATCCTGTTTCCTCAGCTAGTTATTTCAGTATGAATTCAAGGCATTAAAAGTTTTATCTTTCCCATTTCAAGGTATAATTATTGCAGGTAGACTACAAGACAGTACAACCCAAGTTCCCACATATATGTTCTCCCTGAACATATATGAAACAGATTGCAATTTCATCCAGAGATGTACATCAGCTGTAGTAACAATCAGTGTTTCACATACCTGTCAACTTACTGATGTCTGTGTTCCATTCTTGAGATCTGTTTGTGGTTTTATCTGATGACTGTCTCCTGAAAGGTGGAATTTGAATGTTTCGTGTATATTATGGAAGGCATCAACATTCTTCCTTAGAAGGTATTGAATGTTGTTAGAGTTTTATTATGTTTTACAGGTACAAATTTTTAAAATCAAATTTGTCTTATGAAGTGATTTTTTTTTGAGGTTTCACTTTGTGGGTGTCTGAGTCAGAGTCTCTCTTTGCATTTCAGATAGTTATATAACTTGAGGCTGTCCTTAAACTCAAGGCATTTGGTCTGTATCAACCTCCCAAATGTTGGGATTGCAAGCATGTACTACCACACCTGCTTGAAATGTTCTTTTTCTGCCAACTTTGTGATATGTGGGTTTTCAATATGTATAATACATTTTATTCATATTCCATTCACACTGCCATAGAATCTCTTACATCTGAGTGAGAAGTGATCACTTGGTGTCTATAAGATAGTTTGTAGCCTTTTGCCTGATTTCATTGTTCATAGACTTGTTGCAATAAACTTGTTTTTCTGTTAACATTTTATTTATCATGTATGTACCATATTTGATGTTTAATAATTTTTTTCTGTGAAACCAAATTCAAGTTTCAAAATGCTGCTTAAGTATATCAGAAAAAAAGGACTCAATGCTATAAATAATAAGATTTGAAAAGAGATATTTCTAGAATTTATCAAAGTGATTCATTGGATATTCATCTGCCCCTGAGCTTTCTGGATGGTGATTTTTTAGGTTCTCACTGTGTGATCTGCTTTATAAATAGTGCATGGTTACTTTTTCAGTGACCCAGAAAAAGAACTAGTGTTTCTATTCTGTTGTTACATTAACAATGAGGTACCATCTAGTGTCAAAATTGCTTTCTAAAAAACTGGGCATTCACATGTAATTGATGATCAAGTTTTGGAATTAAGACTTTATTCCACTCAACTGTTTTGTTGTTTTGTTTTGATTTATTGAGATAGGTTCTTAGACTGTAAGTCAGGTGACCTTGAACTCACTGAAAACTCATGACAATCCCTTCTACTGAGTGCTGGGATTGCACATATGTACACCAGACTTGGCTCTCAATTCAGTGTATTATGACAGGATATAAAATAGCCTACGCTATGGCTCTCAATCTTCCTTTGAGAAATATATGTCTGATCTTTAAGCAGGCAGTGACCTTTGAGGATGTGGCTGTGAACTTTACCAGTGAGGAGTGGGCTTTGCTGAATCCATCCCAAAAGGAGCTCTACAGAGATGTGATGGGGGAAACCTTTAGGAACATGGCTGCTATAGGTAAGGGTGACATCTCTTTCTCAGTTATACAGTCAGAGAGCATTCTTTGTTGCTTGTAAATTATATTTCATTGAAAAAATGTTAAAACAATTTGAAGAATAACCAGACCTGGTTATTTTTTATCATAAATCTAGTAGAAACCTATTAATTTTTACGTATCATAATGAATTCTTATGTTTCTATGTCTGCAATTCAGGAATAGCTGGGGACAACCAGGAAATTGGAAAAAAATACAAAAATTATTGGAGATGTTTAAGGTAATTTTCACTCACAAGGAAAAAGAATATTGCTCAAGATTCAGTGCATGAGCAGAAACATGACATCCAAGGAAATGAAGTGAAGTTCAATTTAATGTAACAAATATTCTCCAAAGAGGTATACAGGTTGAGTATGTATAATCTGAGAATTCAATCAATTAAATGTTTCAAATTGCATTTGAGTATTATATGTAGATATATATGAAAATAATAAACTTTGAGGTTTTTTTTTTAAATTGGTACCAGGCATCAAACTCACGACTGCCTGCTTGCAAGGCAGGTTCTTATGCCGCTGAGCTAAATCCCCAGTCCCAAACTTTGAGTTTTGATAGGAATCCACCTGTAGTATATTATACATATGAATGATGAATGTAACATATTCAGTGTATAAAAATTGCTAACCTTGTGGTGGTATTCAAAGTACAAATGAATTCTAGAGTTTCAATATATTTTTGAAGACATTCTCTAGAAAATTGAGTCTATTCTGATTTAACATTCTTAGAAGGTAGCCTCCAACATTTCTGGTAGAATGCTAAGTATAGTTACTATGATAATTGGCACGCAAATGTCTCTAAAAGTTGGTCCAAACATACTTCTGCTTGGTATAGTCTCAAAAGAGTTAAAATCCTCATGTTATTCACATACCTGCATACCCATACTCAATGCACATCAAGTTATAATTGGTAAGTCCTTAAATCAGCTTAAATATCTTTTGCTGGATGTATGGATAAGGAAAATTATTGTTTGGCTCACTGTGATAGTGCGTTCCTGTAAACTCAGTATTCTGACAAGCAGAATCTTCAGAATGGCAAGTTAAAGGTCTGCCTGAACAATTTAATCATCAATAAAAAATCTCTCAAAGTAAGAAGTAAAAAGCTAGAGATTTTGTGCCAAGACCTGAGTTTCAATCCCTGCACTGGACAGGAAAATGGTGCAATAAAGTTAGTCCAAAAGATCTGTTGCCATGTCATTTGCCAAAAGTAACAGGTGAATCTTCATGCCATAATGTCAAGTGAAATAAATAAAATGTAAAATGTCATATAGTTTCTCTTATAGGAGAAAACAAAAATTTTAAGTTAGACTAAAATAAAGGAGAGTTGATAGCAAAGGAAAAGACTGACTTTTTATAGATGGGAGACACAAACAGGGTAAGGAGAGGGGGGAGAGAGTGTTGGGGAAAATGGTATCAAAATGATCAAAATGTGGTAAACACATCTGTACCCATAAGCCCAAATGAAGTTAAACATTTTGTGTTTCAAAATATAGCAACTTTTAAATTGCCAAATGAATATCACTCTTGAGAATGGCTGTTTTGAATGTGTCCGGCAAGATAATTAGTTATTTCATTGTCTAAATTTTGTAGGAAGCATCAAAACAGAACTTTTTCTGGTAAAACAGTAATGTGGAAACCCATTTTATTGCAATGTTTTTTCTTTACAGAAATGAAGATTTAGAGAAATGCTGTCAACATACATCTTGGAATCAATATAAAGAAATATTCCTTTCTACTCCAGATGCTAAAGAGGATGCAAAAGAAACAGATACACACAATGATGCTCAGAGCCATGAAAGAAATCACACTGGAGGGGAGGCCTATGTATGTAAGCAAAGTGGGAAAGCTTTCAAGTGGCAGTGTAATTGTGTAAGGCATCAAAGAACTCACTCTGGGGAGAAATGCTATGCATGTAAGCAATGTGGGAAATCCTTCAGAAGGTATAGTATGTGTAAAACACATGAAAGAATTCACACAGTGGAGAAATCCTATGTATGTAAGCAATGTGGGAAACCGTTCACTACATACACATCTTGTCAGAAACATGATAGGATCCACACCGTGGAGAAACCATATGTATGTAAGCAGTGTGGGAAAGGTTTCAACACATGTGGAAATTGTCAAGTACATGAAAGAATTCACACCGGAAAGAAACCTTATGTATGTAAGCAATGTGGGAAAGCTTTCACTACACATGGAAATTGTCAGATACATGAGAAACTTCACACAGATGAGAGACACTATTTATGTAGTCATTGTGGGAAACCTTTCAGGACACATGCTGATTGTCAAAGACATGAGAGGACACACACAGGGGTGAAACCCTTTATATGTAAGCAATGTGGAAAAGCTTTTAGGTGGCCCAGTGATTGTGAAAGACATAAAAGAATTCACACTGGGGAGAAGCTCTGTGTATGTAAGCACTGTGGGAAAGGTTTCAGCAGGTACGGTGAATGTAAAATACATGAAAGAAATCACACAGGGGAGAAATATATTTGTATGCAGTGTGGGAAAGCTTTCACTTCAAACAGGTCTCGTCAGAGACATGAAAGAATTCACACTGGGGAGAAACATTATGTATGTAAGCACTGTGGGAAGGCTTTCTCCACACAGGGATCTTGTCAAATACATGAAAGAATTCACACTGGAGAGAAACCGTATGTATGTAAGCACTGTGGGAAAGCTTTCTCCACTTGCTATTCTTGTCGAAATCATGAAAGACGTCACACTGGGGAGAAACCATATGTATGTAAACAATGTGGAAAAGGTTTCAGCACAAACACTGATTGTCGAAGACATGAAAGAACTCACAGTCAAAAATCCTATGTATGTAAGCAGTGTGGGCAAGCTTTTATGAGTTACAGTGAATATAAAACACATGAAAGAACACACACAGTGGAGAAACCCTATGTGTGTCAGCAATGTGGGAAAGCTTTCAGTAGGCACAGTGAATGTAAAATACATGAAAGACGTCACACTGGGGAGAAACCATATGTTTGTCAGCAATGTGGGAAAGCTTTCAGCACAAACACTGAGTGTCGAAGACATGAAAGAACTCACACTCGGGAGAAATCCTGTGTACGTAAGCAGTGTGGGGAAGATTTTATGAGTTACAGTAAATGTATCGCGGGTGAAGGAACACACACAGTGGAGAAACCATATGTATGTCAGCAGTGTGGGAAAGCTTTTACTACACAGAGATCTTGTCAACAACATGAACGATTTCATACTGGGGAGAAACCTTATGTATGTAAGCAATGTGGCAAAGCTTTTACCACACGTGGAAATTGTCAACAACATGAAAGAATTCACTCTGGAGAGAAACCCTTTGTATGTAAGCATTGTGGCAAAGATTTTACCACACGTGGATCTTGTCAAATACATGAAAGAATTCACACTGGGGAAAAACCATATGTATGTAAGCATTGTGAAAAAGCTTTCAGCACACGTGCATATTGTCAAATGCATGAAAGAATTCATACTGGGGAAAAGCCATATGTATGTAAGCAATGTGGGAAAGCTTTTATCACAAAATATCATTGTCAAGCACATGAAAGAGTTCACACTGGTGAGAAGCCCTATGTGTGTAAGCAGTGTGGGAAAGCTTTCACCACAAAGGGATCTTCTCAGATACATGAAAGACTTCATACTGGGGAGAAACCCTATGTATGTAAGCAATGTGGGAAAGCTTTTTCCACACAAGGATATTGTCAAATACATGAAAGACTTCACACTGGGGTGAAGCCCTATGTATGTAAACAATGTGGGAAAGCTTTCAGTAGGCATACTCAATGTAAAATTCATGAAAGAGTTCACATAGGTGTTATTCCTGTATATGTAAGCAATGTAGAAAAATTTTCACCAGGCACAGTGAATGTAACATACATAAATCAACTTCCATGGGTGGAAAATCTATGTATGTAAGTAATATGGGAAAACAATCATGACATGAGGATTTCAAATAAATGAAAGTTTTCACACTAGGAAAAAAGCTTATGTATGTGAGCCATGTGGAAAGGCTTTCACCAGGTATAGTCAACATAAAGTATGTGAAAGAACTCATACAGGGAAGAAACTATGTAAACATTTTGGCAAAGCTTTCACTATATGCAGATCTTGTTAAATACATGGCAAAATTCACACTGGGGAGGTGACGTGTGTAAGCTGTGCTGGAATGTTCAGCAGGCACGGTGAATGTAAAGTACATGAAACAGCAAATGGTGTGGTTTGATGTATGTAAGCAGTGTGGGAATACCTTCAGCACACATGATGATTGTCACATACATAAAGGAACTTACTGTGCAGAAATCCTATATAGATAAGCAATATGGGAAAGATGCCAGTCAGCATACATTGTTAAATAAATGAAGGAAGCCTCACTGGGAAGAAAGTGTGTATATCTAAACCTGTTTTGAAAATTCTTTAAAAATTTCTCACGTAGTAGAGACCTGAAGAAATAATTAATAGAAAAATTTGATGTCAATTATTATTTACTAACTTTCCAGAAAATACTAATCCCAAAGAACATAGATTTGTGTGGTTCTCAGTAAATCACCATATATACCTAGATTATGTATCTGTAGAGTTTGATGCAAAAATACCAAACTAACATAATTTTGTATTTTTGAGTGTCTCTGCTTAATGCATATTGAAACATGGTGAACTAAAATGTGCCTTTCACTTTAGGTACAGTTAGTGTCTACATAGTTGGTGTTCTGTCTTTAAAACATATATATACTGCACTAAAACTACTTAGTTATTATTGTTTTCTGTTAATTGTTGGGATATGACTACTATGTGTTTTTTTTTTTTGTTTGTTTGTTTGTTTGTTGTTTTTTATCTGTACTGGGGATCGAACTCACAACTGCCTGCTTGCAAGGCAGGAGCTTATGCCACTGAGCTAAATCCCCAGCCCCTATGACTACTGTGTTTTAAAATTTTGGTACATACACTCTATGTTTGGTATAAAAAAAATAAACAATTCTGAGTTTGATGTTACATTTCATATTAAAATATATGTTTTTAGAGGCTTGTGAACATGTGTTTTTGACAAAGTTCAGTTGTTTTTCACACAAAATTGTCAATTAGCAAATATTATACTTCTCTGTTGTGACAGGTTACCTACTTATATACTAACATCATTGTATATTATATCATGTACAGAATGTTGAATGATTTCCTTATGAAAGCCAATATCATCCTTTAAAATCATTTTTGTTCTCTTGCTATCTAAATTTTTGCTGTGATGTTTATATTCCAATGAATTTAACCTGGTGTTAAGTTTTCCACCACATATACCAAAAATAAACTGCTGTGAATTTCTGACTCCCCCTGATCAGCAGAACCATAACTTCTCTCCAAAAGCGTATAATGAGTTATAGTGATATCTCCCAAAAGTAAATGGTGGTATCATTTATCAGTAACCAGAGTTTGAAAGGAACTTATGTCAGCTATGGAGTTGTTTTGGGGAGCATGGTTGCTATTGACTGTATGAGGCAAATGCCTTTATTCTGTCCCCTGATGCTGTGGTCTCACTGTGTCTTTGGTAATCCTTATTGTTTTTACCTAATACTCTGAACTAACAGTGTGCAGGAACACCTTACTCATGTGAGGTGATAATCACTTTTGTAAAAGGGAATTTATTAAGTTATAATTCAGATTGTTTTTTCTTTTATCAATATTTGAGACAAATATGTACAATGACATTCCTCATTGTTTATAAGGACCACTGCCTTATGTTTGCAGTATGTGCCAATTGCCTTAAAAAATATATATCCTGCCTTGTCCTTGATAATATGCACCTGAGGGAGGCTGATACTCTCAATAGTCAGCTCTGAGTAAACAGCATTTACCCCTTCAAAAATAGAAATAAAAATTCAGTAAGCCAAAGTGTGTGCATACATCCCAATTGGTCTCATCAGACTGTAAGTTTTACTCTTTTTAACAGAGCTACAATTTGTGACATATTTAATATAGTAGTCTTGAATACAAAAGCTTACTTACATTGTGATGACATTATTTTGTTACACACCTATGGTATAATGAAAACATACATGAGCACTGCATTAAGTATCCTTAATCCAGTGAGTATAGCTTGTCCTATTCATAATTATCCTTAGATACATAAATTGCACATCAGTTGGTTAATATCACCTAAAATTATGTATTTTGTATCTGAAATATCTGATATAATTCATGGAACCAAAGAGACTGTATTCATCCGGGGTTCAGCTTAGCAGCAAAAGTCGCTGCCTGGCAAGTGCAAGGTATGAGTTTAATTCCTGCTACAAAGCGCACACACACACACTGTACAGTGTCAATCTTTACACCCTACAACATATGGCTAACTTCCTAGCTGCATATTTCTGCTTAGTAGTGTTTATTAATGTTCCAGCTATTAGTAGGACATTCAAACAACAAGACATTTACCCTGAGTACAGTGACTTTCTCATTTTACCATGAAGGTGAGTCGTGCTGGTCCTGCTGGTTTGTGTTTGTAATCCTAACAACTCAGAAGACTTAAGTGGATAAAGAAAAAGTTGAGGCTGGGTCTTATATTAAAATATATCTTCAAGTTTGGCAGACCTAGCCTGGTGCTTTAGTAGTCCTAGGTTTACTTTGCAGTATCAAAATTATTTTAATGGTAACTATTCTGTATCAGTAGTTCTTTTCCCACTTTGCCTTCTAACAACCCCAAGCTTCACTTGAGAAGCACATTTGTTTTATGTTCTGTCATTTAAACCAGTTGCTTCTTATATTGAATACATTTGATAAAATTGTGGGTTTTTTATAGCTCCTGTTATACTATTTTATTTTCAAAAATATCCTGTAGTTAAATAATTGGACTGTGTTGATCAGTGTGTATAGGTCTAAGTCAAATGTGACCTTTAGTTCCAGCATCAGCAGAAGTTGAGACAGGGTGATCAAGGTTTTGAAGTTTACTTTGGGGGAACTTACCTAGATGCCTCAGCAAACTATGAAGCAGTTGTCTCTGTGACTGCATGTGAAGTTTAAGGAAAGAAACAAGTTGAGGTCCAGAATATAAACACAGGATACAATGAAAAGATCACTATTGCAAATCACTATGATTTGGTTGTTCGGGAAACATACTTTGGTAATATTTGTGCAGCTGTCACGTATATGTCTTGTTAAAGTAGAACATAAAATAAATGAGCCAGGAATTTCAAGTTCTGGATGCAGATATTAAAAAATGTTTTCTCAATGCTGTTGCTCGTGCTTTGTGTAGCAAGTAAGATAGAATAACACAGCAAATGAAAAAGATTGTATAACATTTTAAAATGTCTGCACAAAAATGAGGGCAATACTAAAATGAAGAATAACCTATGGAATGGGAAAAATCTTGCCTAGAACTCTTGGGGATCTAACATCAAAAAAAGAAAAAAACAGTGAAATGGCTACTTCTCAGAATAAATACTAATTTCCCATAACTACCTAAAAAGCTATTGAACATTTTTACCAAATACAGAAGTGCAAATTAGAACATCATCTCATTCCACATAGGGCACATCACCACAAACTGAAAAGACTGTCCAAGAGGCTGGAGGGGAGAGGGGACATTTCAACATCATAAGTGGTAATGTAAGTAGTTGAACCAATACTGAAGTCAGGGTTCAAAATATCAAGAACACTGAGTAGTCATTCTGTTCAGTGTAGTGCTTCTTATAAGCATCTTTCCCACAATGTCGCAGACATATTTCAGTGCCCCAAGCATACACCTGTTTAATATAGGAATACTCACTTTCTGTGGGGCAGCAGCAGTTAGCACTGTTCGATCAGCCACCAGATACAAGATATAAACAATAAATATGCTTCTCTACTCCATTTAGTAAATTATATGTGATATTTTATTGTGAGATGGGCTCACTGTTTAAGATTTTTCTACTCTTCTATGGGTCAATATAAGCATAAGTATGTGTATGTAGCAAGTGTATCGCTGTTGTGTTCACTAGACCTGGTACATTAAATGCATGTTTATATAATTTGTACTCTTTTGGTTGCTGAATTTTTTTAAATTTTAAAGATCATAAATCCCACGAAATAGAACACAACAAAACCAATCAAAACAAAGCAACAAAATTGGTACAGAACTTCAAAGTAGGACAGTAGGAATAAAACAATAGCTACCATAGTACATCTTGTTATCTTCACAATAGTTGCCCATTTCATCAGCTATAGCAAGATCACACCAAAAACAAAACAGAATAAAACCAATCAAAACTGACTACTGAAATATTTACACTCTGTACCTCAAGGAACATCTGTAACCACTTCACCTTTATTAAGGTAGTGACCTGTATAACACAACCTTACTACATTCTCTCCTGGGTTAAATGCTGTTATTCAGTGTAATTCAGTGAAGCATATGTATGCACATGTATGTAATAGTTTCTTTTCTTACAGTCCTTAAGAAAGATTTTTTAAATTTTCTTGTATATTCAGAGAGTAATGTCTCTATAATGGGTTGTATAAGTACTTAAAAGTGGGGACCACTGAGTGCTCAAATGAAGCTAGAAGCTTAAGGACAAGAAGCAATAAAAAAAAAAAAAACAGCTCAAGAGGAAAGAATTTGAACTCCCATTGAAAAATGTCTAATAAAGATCTGTGCTCAAAGACTGAACCATGGGGTCTGACATTCTTGGATAATGACAGCACCTGACATCAAACCTGTTTAAGACAATTCCAGTAGGCAGAAGTTTCTCTGTTCCACTTTGTTTTCTTGGTTCACCTATTCCACGTCCTCTTGCAAGACAACACTATCATTATGACAGTTACTTCCCACTCAGATCAATGGCCCATCAATTATTTTCTCTAGAAGAACACACACAGGGCTAGGGATTTAGCTTAGTTGGGATAAGCATGTGCCTGGCAAGCATGAGGTCATGAGTTTGAGCCCTGGTAACAAAATAAAAGTCACACACAGACATTCGGGTTTTATGGACTATCTTCATGAAGTCATGCTGATGACAAGATTACCAATCCAAAATTAAGAAAATCTTCATAAAATGTTTATTAATACATGTGTGTATCTCTACATTGGTTTTGTCAGAAAGTTGTACCCATCTGAAGTCTATTTTGCCCTCTCCTTTCTTCTATCACATTTCCATTTGTAAAATAGCTCTCATTTTTCAATAAGTGATATTTTAATTTTGTTATAAAGATATTACACAGAACACCTTTGATAGTAAAGTGGATCATCTATAAGTATCAGCTTCCTGAATACATGAGTATATAAGGATTTCAGCATCCTTCGTATGTTTCTAAGGAAAATCCACAGAATATGATTCCAATGAGAATCCCAAATAATGGATGAGGTCACACTGTGACTCTGGAAATGGAGAGCCACAAATGTGAAGTACAAGCATGTGATGATCACGAGAATATGAGTTCAATGCAGGAGAACAAGCATTACATTCATGTACCAAAATTTTTGATGCCTGTATTTTGAGCTACAAGCTTTGCCCTGGTATATCCAGTACATGTGTTGAGAGATGTGACAACAGGTATGGTAATCATATCCCTTTTTATCCACAGGTTAATTCTGCCAGTTTAGTAGCTTATGTTATTCATTAACATTATGTTATTCATTAACATAATGAATAATTATGTTATTCATTAATTCTGCCAGTTTAGTAGCTTATGTTATTCATATACTATTCATTAGTAGCTTATGTTATGTTATCCACAGGTTAATTCTGCCAGTTTAGGAGCTTATGTTAAAAATTCCAAAATTAAAAATGACAAGGTTCAAATCATGTACCACTCTGATCTATCACTTATCTCCATTGATCTCATAACAATTTTTTGAACCAGGAAATAAACTCATGACCTTGCACTTGCCAGGCAGGTGCTTGTGCTGCTGAGCTAAACCCCTGGCTCTCATCATATGACAATTGTGTGATGTCATACCATAAAAAGAAGGCTGAGTACAATATCAAGGGCAACATTCAGAGAAAGACAGCATATGCACATATGCTCCAGTTACACTGTGGTTTTAATAACCATTTCAGTATTAAGTAATATAAATCTCTACCTGTGAATAATTAAGGAATTCAATGCTTTCATAGGTGTATATGTATATAAAATTCTATATGTGTGTATGTATGCATGTGTGTGTTTTATTTCCACATTCTGTTGGAAGCATGCATTTGACCTGAAATTATATCCTCATCAGATAAGGGGGCACTATGCTTTGATTCTAATAGACAGTTTCATGACTCTTATATCTCTGGCTTTCCACAACAGAAGAAAAGACACAACTGATATGGGGAACATGATGGATTAGGTTGGCAAATGATAAAAAGCATGTACATTGCTCAAGAATAACCACTCTTCCCACTTGAATGTCTAAATGACACTGGTTCTTGAAAAGTTTCTATCTTTGTCCCGGGACAATACCTTGATTTTACATGAGGTCAGTTAACCCTAGGAAGGAGAAAACCTGGATGAGGAATAAATTTTTGAAGGATAAATCATTTTTAGTACATTGAGTATATACTGTAGAAAAGACTTTTGGGGTTTATGGTAATGGATGCGCGCGTGAGAAACATCTTCAAATGGCAAAGAGAATGCAAATACAATCAGGCCGACAGCACCAGGAAACAAGCATCACTTGGGCCCTTGGGAGAACTACTGAGGCTGAGGGAACAGGAACTATTTCCTGCTTGTTAAGTCATTTCCCAAACTAATTTGATTAGATATAAATACTTCTTGTAGATCTCTCCTTTTTTTCAAAGGCATTTTTATTCACTCATTTTTAAATCAATATAAAGTGTTTTAGAATTTCCCTTTGCTACTTCATCAGATAATCCATGGCCTCCAGCTGGAGAGAACACGAAAAGAATGAGCGTGAACAGAGAAAAGCTGCAGAGTGGTGCAGGGCTGGACATTCATGAGAAGGCACAAGCCACAGCCACTGAGTGCATGTTTCCTTTCTGAGGCTGGGACACTGTTTTCCTTGGTGGTTTCTACAGATGGCTTTGATTTGGGCATGCTTAGATTATAGGTGTGAATCTCTATTTAATGCATAGAAATGATTCTATGCATTAAATATTTGTTATCAGGATGAAAGACTAATTCTTGGTGTAGTTTCTTGGGGAAGGGGTGATGAATTTGACACTTTAATGAGAACCTTAAAGTGAGTCCCGGTAAGGGTCTTCTTGTTAATATTAAGGTGGTGTAAGAAGCTGCATTTTCCTGCTGGAGAAAGGGAGCAGTAGACCATGGTCAGCTCCCACAGTTAATACTGTTACTTCTTGTAGCCTCATCACCGGGATTCACTGTGTCATACCCTTTCAGCAGCCAGTCTCACTGTCTAAATAGAAAAGATGTTTAACTGTGTAAATGTGGATTTTTCCTTTTCCATGGGTGCAGCTGGTGGCTATTTTTCACTTTCAACTGTTGTGTAGAGTACTGCTGCCAAAGGAATGTAATAGATGTGGTAAAAGTTATAATGTCTTGATTTCAAGTTTTCCTATTATTTTTAGTAAAATGTGTCATAGCAGGATGTGATTGCACACTGCTGAAGTCTCAGCACTCTAGGAAGCTGACACAAGTGGATCACATATAAGTTTGCAATGTTGCTAGGCAATATAGCAGCATAACAAAACAGCTCTAAAAAAATTAATATGAGTCGGGCGTGGTGGCTTATGCCTGTAATCCCAGCACTGAGGAGGCTGAGGCAGGAGGATCGCTGGGAGTTCAAGACTAGCCAAGACTACAAAATGAGCTCAAGCCCAACCTGAACTGCATAGCGAGACCCTGTCTCAAAAAAGACAAATATATATATATATATATGGCAGGGGATATGGCCATGCATAAGTGCACTGTATTTAGCCCAACCTGAAAAATGTAAAAAGGCCTAGTTGACTGAAAAACTGTGAAGCATTTGTACACTAAACTGTACTCTCCTCTCCCTCTGTTGTCCTCCCTGAGGTTGACATGTCATGACATTTGAGTTCTTCCTCTGTGGACTGATCTTACTCTCTGGCTGCAATTATATTCCAAAGAAAATCATTTGCCATCTGGATTTCTCATATCCAATCCACTGCCACTTTTATTTGGCCCTGCATTGTGAGGTACTTTGATCTATGTTCATCTGCTTTGGAATAAATTTTCAAAATGAAGGAAAGGATGTGGTTTGCCTGTTTCACTCATGAAAGTTCCTAGTCCAGGGAATAGTGTAGGATGATTTGCTTGTGAGCTCTGTCAAAGATGTGAAGAATATAAAATAGAGGGAACAAAATAGTGTCACCTCACAGAAGGAAGACATGTTATGTGCCCTGCATATACCTGCCTTGATGTGATAATATCCTGCATATTCCACATTGTGAAAACTTAAGTATAGCAAAAACATCACTGCCCAACTGCACAAAGCTGTCTACAGATTCATGCAGATGCCCCCAGTTAAGGAGAATGTGGCACACACACGGAAAGTAAATAGAACACAAAGTTTCACCTAGTAAGAGATTGATCAAGGCAGATGCGTTGACTACTTTATGAAGGTATGTTTTCCTGATCATTTCATCTGAATGAACCTTAATTTTTGTTACTGTTATTAATGTATGGTTCACTAGATGACTACTTGAAGATGTGGAATGATATCCTTTTTTTTTTTTTTTTTTTTTTTTTGTCTTTTTCCTTTTTATTAGTACCAGGGATGAACTCATGACTACCTGCTTGCAAGGCAGGCGCTTATGCCACTGAGCTAAATCCCCAGCCCCTGATATCCATTTTGAACTTTAAGTATTTAAAGAACTAAACTACCACTTTGGTAGTGTGATTAATTAACTAATGGTCATCTTGAAACACCAGGTGAACTGAGTTAGCATGGATATGGCTGTGGAAGGTCCATATGGGAATTGAGACTTGCTGGCTCACTCTTGTAATCCCAACACTCAGGAGGCTGAGGCGAGAGGATCCTTGCGAATTCGAGACCAGCCTTGGCTACAAAGTGAGCTCAAGGCTAGCCTGAACTGCATAAGGAAACCCTGTCACCATGAGACAAAAAGAAAGAAAGAAAGAAAGAAAGAAAGAAAGAAAGAAAGAAAGAAAGAAAGAAAGAAAGAAAGAGAGAGAGAGAAAGAAAGAAAGAAGGAAGGAAAGAAAGAAAGAAGGAAAGAAAGAATAGAAAAGAAAGCATCCTGAACCTGGGTCAGGCCAGGACCAAATGGAACAGAGAGAGGACAGGCTGTTTGATAGTTCAGTGTTTCCTAGTGATATAGCAGACTTCACTGTCACGATTTTCATACTTACCTCCCTCTGTATATTATTTTTCTGACTGCAAAATTAATATATTTCCAGAAATGTACTATTAATGTATAAATTAAGCCATTAAAGTTAAATGATAACATTACCCTGAAAAAGAATGAAGATGAAAGAAAATCACACAAGTCAACCCTCTCAGACAAACTTGATATTCATCCAGGGTCATAAAAAGCCTGAATTTTGAAAGTAAGCAAATTGCCAAGCATGAGGGTCACAATGATTGCTGAAATGGAGCCACATAGGGTCTATAATGCTGTAATAATTGATTTTTAGGAAATAAGATTATGCATCAGATATTTCTTCACATCAACAAAATAAGTAAAACACCTGAGGGACTTGTAAATTATTTGTCAA